AATCATTCCTGGGTAGATTGAAATATTACAGTCGCTTCATAGAAGATTTTGCAGTTTATGCCTCGGTGTTGTACGAGCTACGAGAGGCGGATTCTTTCGAGATAAGGCATATGAAGGATCAGGAGGAAATGACAGGAGATCGCGATTGCATCCTACGAGGAGATGATCTTAATTTGATGAGACGATCTCGGTGAGAAAAGCCACTATCGCATTAACCCTGTTGAAGGATAAGGTTGCGGATACCCCAATCCTCAAATGCTTTGATCCAGATCGACTGCCAGTGATCGTGGTACAAGCTAGTAAGTGGGCGGAATCGACCTCCCTGTTGCAGGAACATGATGGTGCGTATTGGCCTCACGATTCGCGCACTGAAGCCCTGCGAGATCAATTGTGGCATGGTTGAGAACGAAGCACAAGCCCTACTTCATTTTGGTGATGTTTATACTATGCTAGTATCCCGAAAGATCAGGGTGCTGACTCAATGTTTGACATTAGACTGGCTAGTTCATTCTTTTGGCCTCAACGGGAGACTAGGAAGCTGGGCCGCGCTACTATCGAATTACACACTGGAGGTCAGGTGATGCGAAAAAGGGGAAGATGAAATACTCGGCGTACTCGCAGCTAGCATAACGCCTCGAAAAGAGGTAGATGATATGTTGATCGCGATCGATCCACAGAAGCAACCTAAACAATTGATAACCATGCCACCCCTACGGTGGAACCGGATGAAAGCCTCTTGGTTGTTAGTTTCGACAGATCGGCGCGAACCAAACGGAAGAGTGGGTCATATAGCGCGATCGTGTAGAATCTACCAGAATGGACGGTTATTGCGGCCGCTTCGGAATACGCAGCGGATTTGACGGTGAATGCAGCCGAATATCGCGGCATGTTACTGGGTTTCGATCTGTTAGATGGCCAGACTAGGGGCTGGGTCATTATATTTGGTGACTCGAAATTAGTGATCCGGCAAATGCGGGGTGAGATGGACTGTAAAGCGCCCAGGTTACATTTGTTGCGTCAAAAGGCAATACAGAAACTTCGATCATGTCCGAAGCACGAGTTCATACATATGAAGCGAGAATGGAGTTACAGTGCGGATCAACTGGCTCGCGCAGCCTCGCAGAATGAAAAATGGAATAACTGTGCTGACTGAAGAAGGTCGGTGAGATCTGACTACGTTGAACCGTTTAAATGAACTGTTGATGCCTAAGCCAGACAATGCAAAGAAACGAATAACCGCGATCACGAGGCCGCTTGGAAATAGACGCCCTCAGGCTCAAGAGTTACAGGAGGGGATGGTGCAGAAAATGAGAATTCGGCAAATTATTCAGGTTCAGGACGGAGAACGTTGAATCGTCAATCTGAAGAAATTTCTTAAGGTGATGTATCCGGTCTGGACGCAGGCGAAGCGAAGATGTGTGCAAATTAAGCCACAGAGTTTGGGATTGATCAGAATGACCTGTTGTTTTTCGGCCCTACAGCGAAGAGAGAATCAGAAAATGTCGATGGTTTAATGCGTCTAATGATCCCAGAGACGTTGCAACAAGACTTTTTGCACCATTGCCAGGCTAGTCTGGAAGGCGGAAACCAATGTATTGGCAGGACCTATCAAAGGATCAGATCGAGATTCCATTGAAGAGGGCTGTACCGGAGTGCGCAACGATGTGTAGGCGAATGCACTGATTGCGAAACGGGAAAGGGATGTTTGACGATCCGAGGAAGATCTACTGGTAATCTACAAGCAACGTATCCATTCCAGGTTATTGCTATGGACCATAAACTATCGTTGCAGAAGTTCTTTAAAGTAAACACGACGTTGCTGATTTGGGTGGATCTTTTCCCAGGATATGTTATCGCGAAAGCTAGCTCGTCACGAACAGCACAAACGATTGCAGAAAATTACGAAGAGTGTATGATCCGGCGTTTTGGCGCCAGTGAGGCGATCAGGGATATCGATGACCTGAATTTATGTCCGACTTTTTCCGAGCTTTAAGTCAGCTCGTGGGACAGAGACAATGTACTACGATGGCACACTGGCCACAGGAAAATGGAACGGCCGAACGGATGGTACAAACTACGACGCGGTCGCTCAGTATATATTTCGCTGATGTCAACCAACAGGACTGGGATGAGTATGCTGAACGGCTCACATTTGCGATTAATACTGCAAAAAATCGGATCCGGGGGGATACAGCATTCCATCTGATCCATGGGTGGGATCCGCGATCTACGTTGGAGGCTAAATTATCAGTAGGGAATGCGAGAACCCGAGATCGCGATCCGAAGAGATGAAATATCTAATCCAGAGACAACATCAGCGATCTCGGGCTGTAGTGAATGATAGATTACGAGCTGCAATCCAGGAAAGAGCGGATCAACATAACGATGATCTCGAACCACACAAGATCGAAGTGGATATTCAAGTTTGGCTGTACTTAGACCGAGTCAAAGAAGGGCATGCGAAGAAGCTGGCACATATGTGGCATGGTCCGTTTCGAGTTGCGGACATATGTGGAGATCACGCTGTGAGACTGGAGAATACAGGAACTCCATATCAACTAATCCCAATTGCACATCTGTCGAAGCTGAAGAGAGTAAAGATGTTTCCGAGCGGCCGAAAGACCAGCTTACGAAGAGCGAAGCAAATCACTTGAGACTCTGCTACCAGAAGATAGTTGGGATGGCGATCTCAAAGAGGAAATTTATGAAGCGGAGGAAGTAATGGACGTGCGATCTGGTCGTTAAACCCTTTATGGTCGAGTACATCCACAATTCTTGGTGAAATGGGAAGGTTATTCCGATATGAGTTGGGTGGATGAGGCCTATCTTAGTTGTAGGGCAATTTTGCAAGGGTATGAGAAAAATCAAGGGAGTCAGAACCGTTTGACATAATGTAGTCACACGAAGACAGATCATACGACCCCTACTAGTTTGGGTGGATATGCTGGGAGGCAGCATGTGCCAATGAGTGAGGTTGAAAGATGTGTTAGGAGGTAGCATATGCGGGTGGATGGGTAGACTTGCAAGGAAGTGCATGCGATTGTGGAGCTGGGGTTATATGTGAAGTTTGTGGCGGTAGAGAATTTAAAGGGTCCGATCGCGGCCGACAAGCCAAAGAAAGAAGTCAATTTCAAAATGAAGAATGAGATGAAGTATCGAAGAAAATTATATTGAATTGTGAAACCATGTGACTCGAATTCTAGCGATCACGCGGAAAAGAACTTGCGAGGCAGACGTTTAATCGGAGATCCGGGGTGGTAGGCGATATAAGATCGAAATTGGATACGCCAAGTCTTAGCTACATCCAGCTGCGGCAGAGACGACATCAAGTTGGCAATGTTCTTCTGTTTACATCCCAAGTCGGGATACCATGGGGTCACTTCCAGGTAGGATGGGAAGCGCAAGAAGAATGGGTCCAACCGAATGTCTAGATTGCAGTGACCTGCGATCATACCCTGCAAGATGAATCGAAGGATCGCCTTCCACCGTACCAGCTCGTGATCGACGTTGTTTCCGCTGTTTCCATATTATACCCAGCTCATGATCGCTGGCCCGCTGATTGCCAGAAAGGTAGATGCCATACGTCGATTCCCACAAATCCTGTCGGTTTTATTCTCGAAATCCAATTACAGGGTGGTGAGTTGGTAGAACAACTCTGCACGAGGAAAAGAGATCGGTGCGATCCGGCGTGAAGTAGTCTCTCAAGATTCTTGGGCGTATAAGGCCGTGATCTCGGCCGAACACGTCAGCTGAGGTGTCCACTCGGATGTGGAGGAGGGTTCCTGGGCACAAGTACCGTCGGGAAGATTTACCCATTAGGACGGGTGAAGTGTTGATAAACGAAAATAACGTCTAACTCCGCGGCCCTCGTCCAGCTGACTCTGCACCCTGACCAAGGAGAAGCTTGAGCCGAAGACCGTGGTATACGATCTATAGATCCGGAGGTCCACTAGTCACGAGAGATTTTAGTGGGGGGGCAGACACCCGTAATCTCCAAGAGACAAAAACGGGTTTATTTACGCACGAGGCGCATAGTCGAGGATGACCGCACCGTCCGAATCGCTCGAAGCGTCCCGAGGATATCATGGGACAATTTGGGCACAGAGAGATCCACCCAGGACGCTTTGGTCACAGAGTCGCGAGTAGAGCCAGTAGAGACGGGGAACCGCGCGGAGGACTAGGCTTGTCTACGACAATGAGAGTATGGGAAGTCCCGGCCGAGAAGGGCGATGTCGGATTAGACGCTCGACGGCGTGTTGATGACTAAGATACCGACAGAGCCGCCGGCGTTGCATCCTCTTTGCCAATGTTTTCTCCCCCTCACATGACGATAGGACTGGACCAAGACGTCTCTGCTTGCCCAATTTTCGGGTAGCAGCACGCCAATGATAGGAGCAAGAACCCTTTGGATCTCGAAATCCTTTCGGATTGCAAGATCCTCCCGGATCACGAAATCCCTCCGGGCCTCTAGCGACTTGGTTAGCAGAAGAATCCTGGGTAGCAGAACCCTTAAGACTGCGAGTACCTTTGGGGGCAGAAGAATCCTTAGAAGTGCGAATGCCCTTAGGATCACGACACGGCGAAGGCTTGGATTTAGCCGTTGCAGATCTGCTCGCTATTTTGGGGAGAGGCAAGGCGGACGATGGTGGAATATCGCGAGGTCGCTTGGGGTGGATCCGGAGGCCTCTGATGCCGTGTGGGGCTTCGTGGAAGGGATGGGGTTAGATGACCCTACCGTTGCAGGCACAGCGGGAGTATCCCCGGCCGCCAGCAAGGCCATGCGATCCTGAAGGGTTACGTAATACTGTACGGTTAGCTGCAACTTATCACATTCAGCGGATCGTGCAGATAGAGAGTCCCGCGCCTCGCATAATTGGACCTGGAGCCCCGCCACCTGCTTGAGCGCCCGACTCAGATTTTCTTGGACGTGGAGGCAGCTCTTCTGATACTGCAATTCGCGGTTATCGGCCTTACGAAGGTTATCGGACAGCCGGTCATATTCAGCTACCACCAAATCCCGCGTCATTCATCTGCTTGCGGATACCGGCAACCTCGCGATCGGCTTTCTCCTGTGCTGCGTGACGTGCCCACACATTATGGAGAATCTCTGCTTTCAAATGCGCAATCACAACAGTCTGATCGACCCGGTAGGCTAACGCCTCCCGAAAGGCGTCAGACCGCTTGACCTCTTCTTCGTACCGAACTTGCGTGCGATCGTACTTGTATTGTACGAACTCCGCGAAATCAGACGCCGGAGTAAGAAGCTCATTGACATCCTCCCGCAGCTGACTATTCTGGGTCACCTGCTGCGCTAAGGCAGACACCATACTCTGGTATTGATCCACGACAGTTTGCTGGAGGTCCAGACGATAGAAGATCAAGTCGATCGCGGCGTCCGGCGTCGTTCGATCGACCGAAATCGACGGTTCGATCCGGTAACTTAAAAGCAAGACAGGATCAAGCAGGTCCGAGGTTGGGACGCTATCTCTTGATCCGGGCACCTTTTTCAAAGAAGTATTAAATTTAATAACCTATTTGAAAGAGTATATAATAAAAAATAATTCATTATATTTTTAAAACTTTAATTTCATTAAAAAAGCAAATAAAATTTAAAAAACCATCATTAAACAAAATAAAGCAATTGCTTCTGTTTCAATTAAAAAGTCAATTTCATGTTTACTTTTAAATTCAAATTTAAAAAATATGCCAACTGAAATTATTCAAACTTAGTATCGGAGAAGGTGATCCGAGATGCCTCGATCCTAAGGTTGGCGAAGGAACAGGATTCGAAGAGATGCGATCGTCCATCGGTACAACGGACGTAAAAATGAAGACAGTTGGGACAATTCACAACGGTTGCACAGACAGATGAACACCGTATATTGATTTCTGGTGCAGGAAACGGTTGTGGCAAAGTGGTCACAAGGAAATTTACTGTTTAGTTAGAGTGGGGGATCGGGCGGATCGCACACCTCAGCTCGGTCTAAAGCGTTATGATTGGTGGACACGAACTGGGACTGGTAGCTAGCAATAGTGCACCTAACCCCAGTCAGCAGGATCGATATCACTTGGGACAAGGCTAGATGACAGTGGAGCCAGTTGGATTGCGTGATTCATCGTGAGACAGGGATAGGGAAGATTCGAGATACCTCACCTAAGGATCACGATCCTGACATAAGACCACAATTCGGACCTGTGATCGCGATTCGGACCTAAGATCGCGATCCGGACCCGGGACAGCGATCCGGACCTAGGATCACGATCCGGACCCAGGACAGCGACCCGGACCCAACATCACGATCCGGACCTAGGATCGCGACCCGGAACCAGGAACACGAAACGTGTTACAGGGCTAGAACAAGCCGTACTAACTTACACTATCTATGCTTAGGAAGCCCAGATTCAAGTTTCAGGTATTAAGCATTTTTAAGTCTGTTTATATTTTTGTCTTGTAAATTATCCTATGTACGATTGGTTCCCTTGGACTCATGGGAACCACTCAACCTACGTGCCTATATCTTACTAGCTAATAATGGGACCAAGCCCATTAAACAGCTAAATATACGACGTGCTACTTCCACTAGCTCAGAAATAGATCCCCTACATTTGTAAAATGTAAACTTAATCAAATTTACTTATGAAACGGGGTGGTCCATTACATCACCCCCTTCTCAAGACAGCACTCACGAACCGTGAGTGCTCAACCACAAGACCCAACGACGCACAAGCCAAACGATGACTGAAGACGCAGACGCCAACCATACAGCACTCCCGTGCACAATCAGCGGGAGTTTAGTCGACCACGTGATGGATCGGCACCTGATCCCTTGGGCGCTGTATGACTTGTCCGGAGCTCGAGCTCCGGACTCTCTCGAAACGATGCAGGACTACTTCCGGCGTTTCCGTGGGTTGCGTGGAAAGAGTCTTGATGGCATCTCGTACGAGTCGCTCCAGCGGTCATGGTGTGCGTCCATCCGGCGGTAGAACCGGATGCTTGAAGACGGAAGAAACTTTCAGCAGTGGCTGGCCAATCGTGAAGACATTCACGCCAATCATTCTATCGGCGTGCTGTGCGAGAAGATATGCGAGAATGCGTGAAACGTAGACCGACTCTGCTACGTCCATGTGCACGAATCTTGTTACTCTTGTGAATTGATGCCTCGTTTAACTTGCGCAGCTTGGCGAAAGCACGTCGCTGAGCATCCACTAAGCGATTATGAAAATCTAAGGATCGGACGGTATGAGCGCAGCTATGATGATTAGAGACCGCAGTTATTCGTGGCGCTCCACGCTGGCGACACCACTCTCGTTTACGTGGTCGTGATGTGGATCCATCACGACGCTTTCGTTCTCGTGGTCATGATGCATATCTACCACGGCGATCTCGCTCCCGTGGTCGTGGTGATGCACGTTCGCCACGACGCTCTCGTTATCGTAGTCGTGGTGAAGCACGTTTATCACGACGACACTCTCGTTCTCGTGGTCGTGGTGATCTTTCACCACGACATCGTCGTCGCTCTTGGTCTCTTCTTCGTGGTGAAGTTTTACCACGACGCCGCCGTCGCTCGTCTCGCTCTCGTTTGCCATTAGAACACATACGTTGTCGAGCGCATCAAGGTTGGGCGTGTCCACGGACTCACATGCCCAAACGACGTCTAAAACACCCTGAAGAAGTTACATACGCGGTTCCCACGTATCTTGCTCGGGTGCAAACCTGATCCAGCGCACACGATATTTACGCGCGCATGAAGTCGCGACAATGTCTCTTCACGAAGAGGGGCCTCGTGACTTAGTAAACGCTTCGCAATCTAGTGCTTCTGCCTTACCGCATCCACAAGCGGCGGTGGGCCATCGCGATAAGAGCGTTGGCGTCCTGGTTGTCCAGGAAGATGTGGATGCGGCGGTGAACAAGGCTGTCGATGCCCAGCTGAGAGCTAAGGCTGCCGCTGTGCGTGCTTCACGGGCCGAGAGGACAGGCGAGCGAGATAGGACAGGCGAGCGAGATAGGACAGTCGAACCGCCAACCGCTCGAACGGGTGAGGAAACTGGAACGCAAGGATCTTGGTCCCACGCAGATTGAAACGCAGCCGCGTCCGTTGTCCTTGGCGCGTCGAGAAAGACGGGAGGGAAGATCAACGTTTGAGCCCTTGCCTTCAGGGTCGAGACCAACTCGTGAAGCGTAGCCGGACATTACTCCTTCATCCACCCTATGTAGAACTTCGGGTTTAGGCGTAACGACGAAAGGATATCCAGCTTGTAGGCGTCGCCGATCGACTTGAGCACCGTGAATGGTCCGATGAAATGTGGCGCGAGCTTGCTCGCGCCGAAATTGGTAACTGCCGAATCGCATATGCCTTCAGTAGAAAGCAACACACGGCCACCTTTTTTAAATGTGCTCATGTTCTTTCTTCCACGTTTGTCCGCATTCTTTTTCTGCTTATCCACTGCAGAACGAAGAGTATCTCGTACAAACCTCGTTATCTCTTGACGTTAAAGTATGAACACCGACACAGCCATGTCATCAATTGGTTGCGCCGACTCAATCGGCGCATAGCTGGTTTTAGGTGATCGCATACCCGAAGAAGGGTCAATCAGTGTTTGCGTAGTCCATAGAGCTAGCGGGGAAGACACTTCTAGTGGCGTCATAACAGGGGACTTCGACTTGGAAGTATTGACTACATTTGCGCTTAGAATACCGTGAGCTGCACTCGATCGTTAATTGTCACTTTCACCCCCCCTCCAGAGCGGATACACGAAGATCCGTGAGATGATTTACGGCACGAAGAGCAGGAACTCGAGGGTGACGAGATGAATTCGCAAAGAATGGCGTCAACCCTGTTGACTCGTGAATAGCGTGGTTGATTGAAAACTCAGCGAGTGGCAAGAACGCACTCCAACATGTGAAGGAAGTAGCATAACTTCGAAGAACATCTTCGAGGACCCGGTTGACCCGCTCTGGATGCCCATCCGTTTCCGGATGAACGGCCGTCGATATCTGCAGCTTCGTGTCAAGAATCTTAAACAATGAGGTCCAGAACGCAAATGTGAAGCGAGGATCACGGTCCGAGACAATGTCGTCCGGTAAACCGTGATAGCGAAACACTATGTCAATGAAGTGCACCGCGGTCTCAGCCGAGGTCATTGTTGCATGAACCGGCACCAAGCGTGTCATCTTGCTGAATCTGTCCACGAAGACCTGGATACCGGTTCAATTCTGACTATCGGGCGCGGACCCGAAGATAAAGTCCATCGACGCTGAGCGTTAAGCCTCAGCTGCAATCGGCAAGAATCGCAGGGGGCCTGGGACGATGGAAATGCCTTCACTCTTTGACAGATTTTGCATGTGCAAATCCAGTTGCGAACCCACTTGTTTATGTGGGGCCAAAAAAGGCACGCGACACAGCCACAAAAGTCTTTTAGCGGCCTAAATGACCTTTAGCTGGGGCATCACGGTACTCGCGGATGATGCCAGCACGCAGATCCAAGTCGTTCGCGTCTACCGTTCGAGGTGCATCGAATCGATCGATGATGTATAGCAGCAAATCACCATACATACTATATCGCTTGATGTAATCACGCTTCGTTAGCGAAAGAGCTCCCAGTGCATCATCGCTGGGAGCGCGCAGATAGGCAATAATGTCCGCGTAATCCGGGTCGTTCGCGTAAGCCGCGACAACTTATCGTATAGGCATAACTTGGGTGTGACCCGAGTTAGATTCAACGACACACACGTCGCACATCGATCGTCTTCGTCGTCGTCGTCAGTAGCCTGACGACTCAGTGCCATCCGAGGATCGTAATCTGGACGTCGTGACAGTGCGTCAGCAAGAATGTTAGTCTTGCCTGGCTTGTAGTGAACGACGAAGTTGTACTCGGATAAGAAAGAGAGCCATCGTGCCACTAGCTGAGACAGGTATAGGCTCTTTATCGCTGTGCGCAGCGATGCATGATCAGTATATAGGGAGAACGTGCGTTCACTTAGTGGTGGACACGAAACTTGATGAGTGCGTAGCGCATAGCTAATTGGTCCTTATCGTGGACTGGATAGTTCTTCTCCGCCTGCTTCATCTGTCGTGATTGGTAACTCACGACTCTTTCATGGCCCTCATCGTCAATTTGCATGAAGGCGCAACCAATTGCAAAGTCACTTGCATCACACACCTCGTGAAACGGCTTGGTGTCGTCCAATAGCATCAACACTGGCGCTGACGCTAGACTCTTCTACACTGCGTCGAAGGCCGCTTGATGCTTGGGGCTCCACGACCACGTGGCGTCTTTCTTTAAAAGTGACGACAGAGGTTGTTCAGAAACGGCGTACTCTTTGGTGTACTTATGCAAGTAACTAGCTAGACTGAGCCATTGACGCAACTCCGTAGGATTCTTATGTGTTGGCCAAGAACAGATAGATGACACCTTCTCTGGATCGGCTCAAACTCCCTATTTACTCACATAGCAACCCAGCAACGAAATCTCCGGTGCACAGAATACGCTTTTTTCCAATTTTGCATACAACTTGATGTCTCGCATGACTTGACACACCTGTTTTAAGTGTTATAGAAAACGTGTACAGCACTAAGGTTTTTATCAGCGCGACTGTGGACAAAAATGTCATCGAAATAGCTAGGCGCAAAGTCTCGAAGCGGTCCTATCACTTGTGACACCATGCTAATGAAAGTGACTGGTGCGTTCTTCAATCCTTGTGGCATCACCAGCCACTCCCATAGCATACCACTTGGGGTGCTCACCGCAGGGAGTGGTATGTCACTCTGTCGCATCAAGATCTGGTAGAAGCCATCGGTCAGATCGATGGCGCTACCTGACATGGAGTTTAGAACCATTTCGTTCCTGGGGATGGGCGTTTGGGCAGGAATAGTGGCATCGTTTAGCTTGTTAAAGGCGTGAGCGATGCGCCATCCTTCCGTCGCCTTCTTGACACAGAAGGTGGGACTCGAGTGTGGAGAGACACTCTCACGCACATGGTCCGCCTTTCAACGACCTTCAAAGAATGCATCAATGGCCTCGACCTGGTCTCGAGGCAACAGCCACTGCCGAGTCACACAGTACTTTGAACCTGACACGAGAAAAATTCGTGCCGCATACCACGATTGGCAGGAAGTTCAGTAGAAATTTTGTCCGGGACGACGTCTGCGTACTCTCGATCCTATCGCGTAGACAGGGTTACCGTACTCACGCAGAGCCTCCCATGACTGTGCTGCAAACCTTTTTTACGCGCTGACTTTGGTATAGCGTATCGAGGGCGCGTCATGTGCTCCTCTTTTAGCTCAGGGGTCACCTCATTGGTGACCAGATAAATCTGTTCAAGCGTTCATCCCTTTAGGTCACGTACGAAATGCTTCCAGGAGAGCTCTGGAAGCCTCGTAATCGAAGACGCGTCGCGAGATGGACTCGCTATTTTAATGAATTGGCGCTTTTGCGGAATCTTTGTATACGTGCACCACATCGTGGACGCATTACAACGCTGTATTCTTTATGTTTGCGTCCCCATAGTGTTTCGAGTCCAGATCGAAGCTGGCGATCCGCAGCTAGGTGACAATCTATCACACCCCTCTAGACACTGGATGTCCTCATTCAGAACGTCAAAATTGAGTGACGAGAGAAACTCATTTTCGTTCGTCGACGCCTGATGCGGGAGCCCCTGCTCGACCGCCGTAACCTTATGTGGGAGCCACTGCTCAATCACAAATTGCTGATGTGGTAACCCCGGTTCAACCACAGTGGGTGATTATTGAAACCCCTGTTCGACCATCATGCTCTGAATGGGTACACCTGTCCGTCCACGTCGCACTCGGTGACGAGCTCGTGCTCGACCACATCTTGTCTTTGTGGAAGCCTCTGCTCACCACAATAGGTACAGGTAAGAAATCCAGTTCTACCACACTCCTCGTTCCAATACCCTTGTTCGACCGCGTCTTCCTCGTGCGGGATCCACTGCTCGTCCGCGTTATACTCCTCGCTGCGAAGCGAGGAGATATCGTCACCCGGTCATCCGAGTGGCACAAGCAGTGCAGAGAGGGCCATCGCTCGCTCTGTGCATCGCCTGCGTCGTGGAATTGCGATCCACGACTAAGACGTTCGTCTAATTTTTTGGGGACACCAAAAGGTAGGTTAGCACTGCACTGACGTCGAACTTGCATCGATGTCTCACTGATCTCGCTATCCAGTCAATCCGAGGCTTGTAACGTGCCAACTACGGCAAGCGCAGGATGCAATCGAATGTGTAAATCATCTCAATCACCAAGCAGTTGTCGTTGCTGCGAAAGACGTCGAACGTATACGGCAGCGGCACTTTGCGCGGCAATACGTGGCGTATTTTCCCGGCAGCGAGCTTGACGACAACTTTGCCAGGCCCCTCGCGGACCTAAATGCTGGGTGGCAGCATCGACACACAAGATTCACGGAAGAAATTCTTTTCACTCCTGGGCCCAGGAGCACTAGTAAAGGTCGCCGGACGCCGGCGACATGCAAACTGACAATGATAAGGCGTGAATCACCACTAGCAGTGGTGGCATTTAACCGTGCGAGTAGCACAGATGGGCTGGGAGGTCGGTCTTTTACGGTGGAACTGGACCCCTCTTTAGACCAGTAGGTTGCCCTGCACCTATTGGTCTTATCCGTTGTTTGGACGAGTTAGCGGAGCACCTGCCTCATGATGAATGTCCATCACATGCACCGACATCGGCGATGGCGTGCGACAATCAGCCGAGCTATGTCCCGGCTTTCGACCTCGAAGAAGATCATCTGACGTCTGCTACGGAAGTCGCCTTTGTAGGGTGTAGCACGTCGTCGGTCACCCGACGACTTAATCGCATCAATCTCCATAGGTTCCGGACCCGCTGATCTGGCAGCGGTAACACCGAAGGCTTGAGGTAGGCCTTGGTGACTCCAAAGTCTTCGCGGAGGGCAATAATGAAAGCCTCCTTTAGCGTGGCAGGCTCTGCGCGTTCCTGCGACAGTCGAGTCTGCCCCCTCACAGATACCGTCAACGAAGACGTTCACTTGTGTTATCATGCCCATGGGGTGTGTGGTCCAGCACGAGGCTAGATGCCGAGCCATATGCAC